AAATCATGAGGCAATTTCTGGAGATGTCCTTGGTGCTCAGCATTGGGGTAGAAGTCAAAGACACTGCTAAACACCCTGTGATGCAGAGGACAGCCCACTGCAACAAGACTTGTCCAGGCCCACATGTCAGTAGTGTCATGGTTGAGAAGGTCTGTGGTCCAGCTATACTGGAAAACAGACCATCCACAAACACACCATGTATTTACCTACCACTGGAAGGTAATCCATTGGTTAGAGCATGATCTCTGGGCCCAGATGGCCTAGGTTTGTCTCCAAGATCCCCTACTTATCAGCTGTGTGACTTTGAGAAAATTATTTAAAATCGCTGTACCTCAGTTTCCTTATCTGTAAAAGGAGCCTAATGATGTCTATCACATACAGTTGTATAATTAAATGAGTTAATACTTATTAAGTACTCAGAATAGTGGCTGGTGCATGGGAAGACCCCAATATGTGCCACACAGCATGGCTGCCACTGCTGCTGCCACTTTATGCATTTGGACTTTATTTAGGATGATTCTTCTGCCCAGAACACCCTCTCCCACATTGCCTCATCCTTTAACCCACAGTTAGAATTTCCCCTTGCAAATGGCCCCCTTCAGCCATCTTTACATACTTCTAGTATAAGTGGGTACTAGTGCCTGGCTGGCAAGGAGTAACTTGTTCTCCCTTCTCCTTTTAACTCTAAGCCCTTGGAGGAGCTACAGCTGCTCTATCTCAGCTTTACATGCAGAGTTTCTCACAAGAGTAACCACTCCATGAATTAATAGCAAACTTTTCTTTCTTTTCAGACATAATATAACAATTTTAGTAAGCCCCACAAGGCTATTTTTTGAACACAAGAAGCCTGGTTTTAAATAGAGCATTTGCAGTACCTTTATAACCCCTGCGGTAATGGCGGAACCTCCTGAATAGTTGGCACTGAAAGCCAGAAGCATAATGAAAGTGCAGAGTGGAATGCTGTTTCCTCCCTCAGACACAAGACAGACACTCATCTTCAGCTATGCCAGCCTTCTGGCCTTGGGGAGACATACACCATGAACGGCTATGTAGAGCTAATAATTTGCTCCTTCTTTTAAAGCTGTCTGTCTTGATTCTCCATTCTGGTTTGAGCTAGATAAGGCAACAAGTGGCTACTCACTGCTGATGATCATCTGTGAGGAAAAGAAACCAAAATAATTTTGTATAATGCATTGCAAATCTGAATCTTCTATAATGAGATAAATTTTTGCTGTTCTCTCTTTGGCTTAAAATTTTTTTTTTCAGTTCAAAAATATGGCTCTTTAATGAAGAAATGCTGAGGTAAAAGGAATCAGAAAGGTTTCTAAAACTTCTGTCACTAATACTTCGGGTTATTTTCTTAAGCCTCCCTGAAAGTTACTTTATACTTCTATAAATGAAGATAATGACACCTAACTCAGTGAGATACCCTGAAGATACAATGAGGTGCTGAATTTGCACGCACATAATAAAACAAAACTATAAAATGTTACAAAAGGGAAAGTTGATTGTAATAGTTAATTGATGATATAATTTTTAAAAGTTATATATATCTTTCTTTTTGCCTATTTTGTACTTCAGGACACAAACTCATTGAAGCTATTTTATTGAGAAGATTTAGAAGTCAATATTTTTTTGCAATGTATAGCAGATATACAAAGTCATAGAAAGACATCTTTCTTTCTCAGTCCTTTATCTAGCCATTTAACAGCTTGAGTTCTGTCTGGAATGAGACCTGAGATGCTCAGGGAGGTTTCTCTTTAGCTGTAGTGTACTCAATCCGATTGATAGGACTGGTCTGCAACTGGGATTAAATATCTTTTGCTGGTTATTAGTAGCTTTCCATGCTAGTTTTAAATAAAAACTCTCCCAATATATAAATTGATAGCAGAAACTCCTCTAGTCAATGTATAACATTACTGTTCGTGATTCACATAAAACTTCCAATCTTTGAAAAATAGCCATCTTCAGTACTCAGCTTGAATTGTGTTTTCCCTCTCAAACAATTACAAAGCAACTGCCAGACAATGTTGCCAAGGGCTAATCATGCACAGAAAAATATAAGACATGTCAATTTGACTTTTTGAGGAAAAATATAATTTTCCAGCTGACACCAGAATCCCAAAATTGGCCAATCACAAGTGGAAAGTGCTTGAAAATGCTCTGTTTGAGGTTGGGTCAAGCCTCTGTTCATATCCTGGAATATTTAATTTGGCTTTTCTGCTACTGAGGAAACATGGCATGACAAGTGAATATGCACATTACTTCCATTCAGGTGGTGACTAAGAAAACCATTCTCCCTTAGACATGGGGCCTCACTGTAGTCATTCTTCATGTGCTGACCACAAACAAACTTGCCATCTTGACTCCTTTTCAAGAATTAGGTTCAACTATAGAATGAATAAATAGAAAGCATTATAAATAGCTTGTGAAAGGAATTAGGGAAATCTTCTCAACTAAGAAAACATTTCTGGTAAACTATTTTTGTTAGCTTACAGTATATATTGTACACTCTACAATATAAATAGCTTTTTACTAGAAGCTACAAAAGAAATGGCTCTAAACACTCTGAGAGACCTATAAACAATACTCATAAGCAATGGAGAGTGTTAAAAAAAAACAAGAACTCTTCTATAAAAGAAGTTTTTATCCCTCTTTTTACCTTCTCTAAGCTATGGCTCAGTGCTGTTTAACTTTCTGTGATAATGGAAATGTTCTTTAACTTTGCCGTCCAATATGGGAGCTGCTATATGTGCCTATTGAGAATCTGAAATGTGGTTAGTCCAACTGAGGAACAGAATGTTTAATTTTATTTAATTCTAATTAATTTAAATAGCCACAAGTATCCAGTAGCTACTGTATGGATTGACAACTATACCTCAGTTGGTGATAGTCATTAAGGAGTAACAACAAACTATTTATCATTCTCTTACGTGGCAAGCACTGTTTTAAGCATCATTTCACATGTATTAACTAATTTAATCCTAATAACTGCCCCATGCAGTAGTTACTAAGATTGTACCAATTTTGCAGATGAGAAAACTGATGTACAGAGTAGGCAATGTGCCCACATCACGATCTGGAGAATGACAAAGTTGGATTTAGAATCCAGGTGTATGGGCTTAGTCTTAACCTCGGCACTAGTCTTAACCTGGGCACTAGACTGCTGCTCCATAAGATCATGGCTGATTTATTAACAGCAATAGTTATTGAAGACTTTCTTTTACTACCTGATTGGACAGAAAAGCATAGAAAGCATAAATGAAGATTTAAAAACCATAATCTCTTTGGGGACTTCAGGGCTAAAAAAAAAAAATGTAGAGTTCCTCTGCTGAGTGACTTGATATGATTGCATAAGGTTTATCAACACACTTTGCCTACAAAGGGCCAGGCCTTGTGACTGACTGAGTCCAGAAAAAAAGAATATTGAGCCAGCTGCTTCTTGGGTGTTGTCATAGAGATTCAGCTTTAAACAAAGGTGATGCTATGTTTTTCTGCTCCAGTCACAGAGCTCAACAATTAGCTTCAGCTTTATTTAGTCTACAACACCAGTCTAGAGAATCTCTTCAGAGAGGACCTTGGTACAGCTTTTACCATGCTGGCCTGCAGTGAGGGGTGACTTCTTGGGGATGTGGTAGATGCCAGTTGTGCAATAAACCAAAATAACTTTTCAAAAATCAATCATTTTAACACCTTGGAAAACACTCTGCTTTGTAGGTGATCACCATCACACCAATGCCTTATTTCACGTTTCTTATCAAGGACAATTTTAAAAATAAAAATGTTTCCCAAGCCTGGATATGCATCAGTTTCACTGGGGAAGCTTGTTAAATACAGGTGACCTTTTGATGCCCACCAGGTTGGGGGAACAAATGATTTAAATTAGACTAATGTATAAGCTGAAATGTACTTTAGAAGGTTTGCTTTTGGCAAATATCTGCCATATGTAGGATTTTTTTAATTGGTCATTGGCTTTTCCTTAAATATCTGAGTACTAACAGGTACTATTTTTTAAGCATCACCATGATGGTGAAAATGCTGAATGTATTTCTGCCTAGAGTCAGGAAATATGTGTTTTGTTATGAAACTAAATGAAGACTAAGTGTGTTTAAATGTGATTCCCCAGATAGCTCATTTGACAATACAGCGAAATTTTGGCTTTAAGGCTTTGTTGCTCCAAAAATGATCAATACTAAGTAGGTTGAAGACAAGACGGGAGATGTATTGATATTTCAAGAAGTGTTAGAAAATCCTGCAGGTTGTTCCAAACAAAAATTAGATGCAGATGGATTGCTTGACATTCTTAAACTTTATTATGTATGGCACAGGAAGACAATGGGTACAAGAGATCAAATAGAAGAGCATCAGATGGGAATCTCCAAAATCCTTTCCTAGAGGAAATAGAAACAGAAAATCCAGTTAATTTCAGGTGACACTATCACAACACTGCTGGTTAACATTTGAATAGCTATTGTGCCAAGTTCTGATCTAAGCCCTTTATCTTTATTTCTCATTACTACCGTATGAGGTTATATTTTGCAGATGAGGAAATAGAGACACAGAGAGATGATCTTTTCTAAAAAGTCAGCCTTTTCTTGTTTGGCATGAATGATAAAAGTTTCACCTGCTGAGCCCTTATTTGATCTTTTCCTATAAATGGGAATGGGTTAGAACCTCTCCCGCCCCACTGCCCCACCTGAATGCTACTCTTCCTGCTGACTTGACCCAGAAAAGACTGAGAATCCAGTACCTAGGAAGAGACTGGCTTTTCAGTACTGTATCACAGTAGATCACAATAGATTACAGTAGGGATCTCTTCATCATTTGGTGTCATTGATCTCTTCCTTAAATAAAGCTCCTAGACAAGATTCTACTGCACCGTGATCTGAAGACATCTTTAGTGCAATTTCTTTAACTATGATGGAATATTGAGAGGATGCTACTGGCATGAGAACTGCCCATGACTAAACTCATGCAAATAGGATAAGGTCTCTTTCATTCATTAAGTTCATTGGTGGGCTGGGTAGCAAAGCTTTTTCAGGTCACTTAGAGGGATAGACACTTGCCTCAGACAGTCGCTTGACTAGATGGCAGCTCAGATGGTTAGTTGCAGTTGCACTTTACACCTGAATAAAAACAACAGCTCAAGTCTCAGTCTGGACTTGGGCAAACCATGGGAAATGAAATGCAAATGAAATTTGCAAACATGACAAAAAACAAGGGAAAGAGGAATTAAGTTCCAAGAAAAAAATGTAGCATTTTTCATGCTAACCCTAGGATACCAGCTTAATCAAATTTTCAGCTGGGACTGATAATGACCCTTTTGGTCAGTTTCTTTATAGAGCTTTCCTATGGCAAAAGCAGGAAGAGAAGCAGGTGATGAAGGGGTGTGGGGAATTATCTTGTCTCATTTTTGTTCCAGGGAATTGCCATTTTTTAATGCTAGCAAATCTTCTGAGTTTAATTACCTTTGCTCATGTTTCCATGCCAAACTTGATTACCTGAAGCAGAGGCAAGACTGCTTATAACCATCTGTATATGAAGACCCATGGTTTGAACTCTGAATGGCTGAACTTCATTCAGGATGACCAGTAGATGTCAAATATGATCAATAGATGTCAATGAATTCTGAGAACTAAACTTTTCCAGCCCTAGGAGACGATGTTTTTTGTATAATAAGAGAAACTACAGTGTTTAATTTTTTAGACTACCAAAAAAATCCAAGGGGAAGTGAAATTATATCTAGTGGTCTTTGCAATACTATACAGAAAAAAAAAAAAAAAAAAAAGGAAGATGCATCTCACTTTACAATGGTCCTGAAGTCAGATTATGTTTCCCTCCTTGAAACTCTGGAGGACCTAACTAATCTTTAGCAAATTGAGGGCCTCTAGAATCAACTTATGAGAGCAAGAAATGATGTTGAGATAGATGATGTAGACTGGGACATTTTACCCTATTCCATTCCATTTCAGAGAAACTCATTAGAAAGACCTCTGGCCACAAGCCCTGAGTACAGGTGTCTACTCTGCCACTCACTGGTGTGTATTACTAGGAAGTTAATTCACTGCTCTAAGGCAGCTTTTTCACCTGTCAATAAGACTTGCCTGAATGGATAGTTGGGTACATTCTAAACTTTGCAGCAATAGTGAAAATACGATGAAATTAACATTAATTAATATTATTATTAAATTGCTGTAAATGACTGTGATAGGCCCTTAGAGGACTGAGATAAATGAGTCTGGCCCTCCAGGGCAGTCCCATATTTAATATAAGTTCAATAAAAACCAAACTTCAATGTACCAAGGAAGATCTTTGAGAAGTTTTGTTTATTGATTTTTTTTGTAGAATCTTAGCCTCTAAAGGAAACTGAATGTGTTTTCACGAGCTAAGATTAAGGGAATCTGTTCCTCTCAGTTATTATTCTATCACTCAAGACATACCCCAGAACTATTATTTGTACTTAAAATGCTTTTCAACTTGCCAGCCAGCCAGGAGCTCCCTGTCGAAGTTAATCACATGTAGTGGTTCATATATCAGATGGTATGAGCCTCTCTGTCCCATAGCACCCTTGCTGAGTGACTGATAGCCTTCTCTGTCAATTTCACCAAGCCAAAAGACTACTAATGATGCATCAAAAGGCTCCAGTAAACTATCCTGAAAATAGAGATTGTTGTACCTACAGATAAGGTTGCCGGACTTTATTGGCAATCTAGATATCATGGCTTCCAACTCTGAGAGTTTATGATAGACAAAAAATGTAACCAAAACAAAAGCAGAAAGGAAAGTAAATTAAAACACAGATGAGCAGAGACCAACAATGTTATTTTATGTACCCTGTCATATCCGCAGCCAGCCCTTACAAAAGAGGGATTTCCTATACAGAATCTCATGTTACCTCTATGGTACTATGGTACCTTAACAGGATTAGCTTATTTTCATCTTATGAAAGAGGAAACTGAGGATTGGATAGCATGACTTATCCACAATCAGAGATCCATTGCATGATGAAGCTTATCTACTCCAAGTAACGGAGCCAGAATGGGACTCCCAGTTCAGTTTTTCTTATTCTTGACCAGAGAAAAGGATAGCACATGCAAGGCTGTAACCAATACTTGGACCAACACTTACAGAAAATGGGGTTGCTGATCCATGTCATATTTTTCTAAGTGTTGGGTCAGCTCAGGAAGAAGAAGCTTTGGAAATGTTTTCTCAATCCTCTTTGTGCAAGCTGAGTCCTCAGAGGTTACTATGAAAGAGGGCAGAGATATAAAGGGAATTGAAAACTAATTTTCAACTTGAAAAGAATGAGAATAGTCATGTAGATCATAGAGAGAAATAATGATTACCTTTAATTCCTTGAGAAAGTTAATTTAAAGTGTATCCAAGTTCCATTGTACAGCCAAAAAAAAAATCTGCAAAGTTGAGATACATCTTTAGTAGTTGGAAATGAGAGTCACAAGGGTCACCATCTCTTGAATATTGGGAAGATGCTCATTCACAATAATTGGGGGAAAGAAAGAATTCGGAGATTAACTGATCTTGGTTTAGGATACACATTTTTTTTTAAATGCGAATAACATTTGATAAAAGACAAATCTATCCTATATGACAGTCTTTAAGGAAATGCACTCAATAGTCATAAAACCACCAATTTGATTGCTTATGTTTTTGTGTCTACCAGATTAAAATCCATAATTATTTGAAGCAAGTCCTGAGGATCCATGTCAAATGGAATCTTTCAAGTTCATGTTCACTTTGAAAGAAAAATGGTATAGATATCTGCGGTCCATGAAATAAAATAGGCATAAAATTTTCTTGTTTTATAAATAGGTTTAGCACAACAAAACAAATTAATTGCAGAAGCCCAAATGTAGCTCTGACACCAATTTTTAGGAGCTGTACATTACAACTACATCATATTTTTGAAACTTGTGACATCAGTTTAAACATTGTCTTTTTAGGGTTGTCTTTGTGTCCTTACAGGCTTTATTTGGAAGAATATAATACCACCTGCTCAGCTTGTAGAGTTGATATTTTATTATTGCTAGTAAATATTTTCCTATAAATGTTTACTGTGTACCTACCGAGTTCTAGGTAATAGGAGCCTTTGGTATGGGAGGTATTTTACTGCACTAATTCCAAGCACATTTTCTCACAGCCTAGTGCTTACTAACTCTTGTACTTAAAGGCACAAAGACAAAGAAGACTCAGTCTTTCCATGCTCAGATGCTGTCTGCATTTCATTCCCTAAAACTATCTGCCTGAAAACCCAATGGCCTTACATAACTGTTTCCTAGTACCAGAATGTGTCATACTCTCTTGTACTTCAGGTTCTTTGTGTATACTTTCCCCTACCTTGTGTGCCATTCCATGTATGGCTGCCTTTATTTTTCATTTTTTAAGAGCAGCTCAAGCAAAGCATACTGGGTGCTCTCCACCTGTAGCTTGATGGTACTTGGTACATACCTTGAGGAAGAGCCCCTGTTACCTTTGAGTCTATTACTTACCTTTGAGTCTTCCATCAGATCTGAGCTCCCTGAAGGCATTGTCCCCTCCTGTCCCCGACTCCTAGTCAGTTCAGGGATGGCCCAGAGGAGAGGCATTTGGCAAATATTTATTTGATTGGCCCAATTTAAGAACACTCGCACAGTAAACAGTCTTGACCAGATAGGGCAGTGCAATGCATATAATGTAAAACTTGACATAGTTTTTGTGACTTTGAGCCATGATGTGTACATTTCTTTTATGCAGGGAATGAGAGAAGTAGTATCCATGTAAACATTCATCCATCCAGTTAAGTTGAACTCAAGTTGCAGAACCAAGCAGCAGATATCAATTGAATTTTGAAGATATGCTGAGATATCAAACCTTGGCGAGGAAATGATGGTGTCTCGGAAACCTCTTAGGCAGACAGAAATATGCCATAAAGATTTATAGCAGCATTTATTCCCAAGGTGATTCAGTGTCAAAGGTCAGATAACATATATTCTTTGCTGTACTTACAGTGTCCCAGAGTGAAGTTTAAGTGGATGTGGTCTCCCGTTACAGCAGAGATATCACATTGAGTGTTAAAGAGGGAGATCCCAACATGATACTAAAACTTGCACTGCACAGTTTCAAAATGCATAAAATTGCCAAATCATCCATTCATTATAAGAAATTAAAGATTATTAATTTTTGTAATACCATTCAATAATGGATGTCAGTAATATAATTCAGGTACTTGGCATTCTCACAAGGCTTAATTATACTCTCAAAGGTTTTTAAATCAAAATACCATTCTAGAATGTGAAACTTTGCCTCTTAACAAAACTTACTTCCTGACCTGGTGACGGTGATGATGCCAGGTGCATTGTGCTTTTTATTTTGTACGTAATTGCATTTCAATATAATGTAATGAGGTTGATAACATGTTGCAGAGTTTAAACATTTATAGATATTCATGTAAAGGACGCAGAAAGTATTGATTCTGTTGATGACTTTTAATAACTAGTACAAAGGTGAAGTGGCTCCTCCCAAGTAGCAGTGCCGCTGGGGCCTGGCCCAGCCCCAACCTCACCTCTTAAGCTCCCAAGCAAATCCTGATGCTCCTGCTCCAGAGGAGACCTTTTCCCTTTAAAGGTTCCGTGTCCAGGGAGCTCTATGATTGTGTGAATGAGGTGTTTGTCACATGAGAGTGCTTTTAAACAGAGGCATGTTATGGAATGCATTTTCAAACAAGGCTTAGGTTATGTTCCATCTGAATTTGAACCTATTTCCTTCAAATCCCTATAAGCAGATGTTTGATTTCCTGTATATAGCATGCCTTTGTTGGGACATGGTACCTGACACTGAGTTTTAATAGTGCAGTAGTATGAAAGTTTACTCCTGAATCTATGGTTATCTTTTTACTGTTTTGTCTCCCTGAAAACAATCACTTAGAAATGGATGTGAACACCTAACATTAAGAGACTTCTTTGATGAGTCTCACAAGTTTACCAGTCTCATTATTGACCTGGACAAGTAAGTCACCTGCTCTTTGAATTAATGTAAGTTAAACCAACTTCTATTCCAAATTATTTTGAAATAGTTCTACAAAATGTTTATCATTACTTTCTAAAGACATATTTAAATTGGTCAGAAAAGGAGACCAAATACAATTATTATTTGTATTTGGAATACCATTTCAAAACAAAGATGAGAAGAAATAGAATAATAAACTAATAAAAGCCCTATGATATCAGCATAGGAAACAGACCAGTCCACATTATTAAGCAATTATTCCTCTCTCTTGATATGACCTGCTTTTTCTCATCAAAATCTCTGAAGTAAGACAATTCTAGCTAACAGTTTGAATTTACTTCTAACCTGCATATCCTGAAAGTATTTTTTAACCAAAAGGTTGACTTAAAATATTTTCTTCTGACTCCCTTTAAACCAAAAGGGATCAACTTAGAAAAGAACAAAAGAGAATTCTTGATGGATTGAGATTAAATCTATCATTTTTACCCAGGGAAAATCCCTTCTTATTTAGTCTCTGTCAGTCTCATGTAAAAAAAGACTATTAAAGTGATGAGCTGCAGTGTTTTGACAAGCACTTGTACTGCAAAAAACTTGAAATCTCACTGGAATACAATTACATATTCACTAGGAGAAAAGAATGTCCTATTTAAAAACTAGGACAGATAATGTTGATAAGGAAAAAGGAAATAACTATCTGAACAATATACCCTAAATTAAAGGCCGAGCTGCTGGCATCCATCTATAGTCAACAGAAAATGTAATTACTCTTTGGAATTACACTTACCCTGCCTTACCATGCTAAATGGATAAGAGAGAGAGAGCGAGCAAGATATTATTTGTATTTAGAATACTATTAAACAAACAAAGATGAGAAGAAACAGAACGGTGATCTGATAAAAGTCCCATGTTATCAATGTAGGAAAGAGAAAGACTAGTCTACATTATTAAGCAATATTTTTCCCCCTCCTGTGGTATGACCTCACTGCTTACTCTCTTGGAATCTTTCTAGAGACAGGATTCGCTATTTTGTAAATACAATAGGAGGTTCAGAGAAAATCAAGAGAGAATTTTTTATTCAAAGCTACCACGTGACTCTAATAACTTATTCCATGTTCTCTGCTGTATATTTTCCATTGTTTAGAATGCCCTGTTCCATGTGGATGAGAATGCTTGCCATAGCAAGTATTGTTTTCCACTGTCTTGTAATAGTGCTTAGGCTGAAACAGGGTGAGTATACTATTCTTTCAGAGTACATATTCTTGAGTGAGAGGCTAAAGCAATATGGAAGCATCTGTGGTGAATCCATTATTATTCTAATGCTAGTCCACTCATGTGGCCAGTTCACACATCACACAATACAACATAATTTTCTCTAAATTATTTATTTGAACACCCTTGGTATTTATTGGTATTTCTTAAGTATGACCAATATCGAAACTAACCTTTAGACCCTTGTGGTCTTTCATTGACCCTTTCTCTACTTTTTGTGTGATGACTAAAGTTGCTTCAGTGTTTGTCAAAGGCAGAACTATGAGCCACAAATCATCATCAACATATTATCAATCCAAAACAGTAAACCGATTTATTTTCTGCAGAGAAAGAACCAAGACAATTTTGGGTTAAAGATGGTAAGACCATTTGCTGCTATTTCAATGGATACTTTTCTGGGAATGTATCCACTTCTTTGAATGTATTTGGTAAAAATAAACCAGAACTAACATTTTACTAAGATCGCACTTATTAAGCATCCCCCTTCTCTCCTTGTAGGTTTTCCACATTGCGTTCTAAACCCAGAATAGGCAGTCATACACTGAGAAATAGTTTCTCACCATGGTAGTTTTAAAGTAGAGAATGTGTCAGAATGACTACCACCAGTTCTCTGTAATTACTGCCTACTTGTTCAGGAAAAACAAATGTGTACATACTCATAAACACACCCTGTAAAAAATTAAGCAAGCATATTACCAATGGCAGCTGCTGGCACTAAGCTTATAAAATAGATCATCTTTCAAAATTCATTTCTTCCTATAGACATACTTTCAGGTAATCATGCACAGTTTCCACTGAAACATTTCTAATTCTCATTGGAGACAAGAACACATAAATAAATAAGAATTAGGTTGTTTTCTTACCTTTTGGAAAGCAGTCAAAAGCTATACTGTTGGTGGGATAGTGTACCAAGTAACAGACTTTTGTACACTCTTTCTTACTGGTGGTATACAGTCTACAGGAAAAGTAAATATATAGGTATGTATAAAATAAATGTGCATACAATATTACTTATTATTATTTTCCTTTTGGGAAAAGGCTGCGATAGAGACCATACACATTATGCCCACTCTTTTGGTGGGCTCAATAGCCTTTTGTAGACCAGGTCACCTCGATTCAGGTACCTCTGAACATGGGAGTACTGGTGCCTCTTGAGTTAAGGGAGTTGGATTTTACTTGATTGAGTTACAACAGCTGTGGGAACCAGCCCAAACATAATTTATCTATCTGCTCAGAGCATTATTTTCTTCCTGTTGCCAGCCCTTTTTTCTCAGCCTAGTCCAGATACACTTTCCAGCCTGTGTGGTTAGTCCAAAAAGATGAAACAAGTAACATAATGTTGAGAATGTTAGGGATCCAAACAAATGAAGAAGCAAAACAAAACAAGAACCATAACAAAGTAACACAGCACAGAAGTATGTTCTAGAATTTTCTAGGCACCACTATTTGTGTAGAGTTTTGGTGCCCACATCCATTTTCCAGCAGTCTGAGTTGTTGTTGTTGTTTTTTTAACCACATACCTTCTTATATTGACAGTTTTGTTTTATGTAATAAATTTATTTTGTTGATAACAGCACAAGTTGTTAGTTAATGTATTTTCCTTATAGTAGATGAAAAATGGTAGGGCAAGAACACCATCAGAATACAATTCCATAATTTAAATACCTTATGTTATATTTTAGGTGCAAATTGTTATTCTTCTAACATGTGCTTCATCGTACAACATGTCAATTGACTTCAACCAGTCTTTTAGGTAGTATACGTCCAGTGTGTCTCCCAGAGTGAGTTCATCAGTCATACATCTCCGCATTCAAGAAAAGGGTGTGTCCCTCGCTGTCCACCCACCTACCATCTCTAGTTGCTGCTGACCTGCCAGAGTAAACTCTCTGTATCTAGCTAAGGTCCTTGAAGTATTCTGCACTGCTTGCAGGGCATTAGCTTAGAAAATGGATGGTAGCTTAAGACAAAGGTAGCTTAGGGCCAGGCCTCTCTTCACTGTGCACTGTGATCTGTTACCAAAGAAAGCATGAGAGCCAAAGACAATTTACAGAGCATTTTCTAGTTGATATCAGTCCAGGTGAAGAAGGCTGCAGTTCTTATCCACCCATCCCAATAAAGCCATGCTGCCTCTTAGTTAATATTATCCATCCAACTTGAAAAGGATTGTCATGGCCATCCATAAGCCATAGCCCAAGCATAACCATGGCATCTTGTTTATCTGGCATCTACAAATTGGCCGTGAACATACATCTACCGAGTGAACTGTAGAAAGTGCAGGGAAACATGCCAAATTCAGGATGCAGGTGGGAGAAGCAGTTTGAGGTGCCCTTCTTCTTAGACAGGAATGTGAGAAGTCATCATCTTGGCCAGATAGAAAGCTATCCAAATGAGGCCAGTTTCTTTGAAACTTCTAGCCATGGAAGTCTTATTTGCATAAATAAAATTCTGTGAGTAAATGAGCTACAGCCTTATGCCCTCTACGCTTGCTATTTTTCAATCTAAGTGCAGGGACCAGAAAGCATTGGTCCAACTCTGGATATCTAATATGCCAGCAGTGCACAGATACATTAAAATTTTGAGATTTACTTTTTGTTTATTCCACACATAATGGAGTTTTTCTTTCATACAATGGACTGTTAGCTAAGGAGGCAGACTAAGAGGATAATTACATTTCTTCAGGAAAAAAATATGGTAGTTTAAATGCCTGCCCATATTAAGTCAGCAAGCAAATTCATTTTTATGTAGACATGTAGTTGCAGTGTGGAGTTGGATGAGTAGAAGCATGCATGCACCAGATGGCAAACTGCAATGATGGAGCAGAGCTGTTAAAAATGAAAACACTGAAGATTGAAATACATTGAGACTAAGTGTTTAGAGCAACAATGAATAAGAGGACATTTCTGTTCCACTGTTTACTTTGTAGCTCACAGTATAAATGCTACTCCCTCTCAGACACCCTCCCTCAGAAAATCTTCTACAGAATTTGCCCATTAGACAAATTCCCTTTTTCAAGTGCATGAGCTGTTTTTGTTTGTTTTTAAGCAGTCAGCTCAATTCAGCAAATAATGTAATTCATCTTGGTTACCAAAGTTTAGATATGGGAAATAATTTTAGCTATATTTGGTATTAGAATATTATAATGTTACCTAGTGTAGCATAGTCATGTCTGTTTTTATTAATTGAATTTTTCACTATTGGTCTTTTCCTATATAGGAGGAATGCATTTTTGCATTGCTGGGGACTGGTTTTTCAAATGTCATTGCTGTCTATGATGTTACTTTTTCCTTATTAGCGCCTCCTTTTGAGATCATTTTAAATGACTATATGTTGTATGTTTGTCTCATCTCAACTGCTTTATTTCTTTGAGTTGACTTTATCCTAGAACAGTATCATTGCTAAAACGTTGTAAGCTATATCCAGTGTGGACTCAAATTGAGTGTCCTAGAATAAAATCCTTGTCAATTTCTAGAGCTACACTGTCCAACACAGTAGGCACAGCAAAAAGTGTGTATTTAAATGCACTGTAAATAAAGTTTACGTAATTAAAAACTAAGTAAAATAACAAATATATTTTTTTCAGTTGAGTAGTCATATTTCAAGTGTTCAACAGCCACATGTGCTAGTGCTTACTCTATTAGACAGTGCACACGTAGAACATGACCATCACTGCAGAGAGTTCTATTGGACAGCTTTTGTGCAGATAAGGTCTTTGGATTCTTTTTTGGGACCTTTGAGAGCTGGGTCATCAGAAACCCCAATGTTTGGAGGTACATGAATCTCCTCCTATGGTTCAGCAAGTATCTAGTAAAGTTTTCATGGTGTTTTAGGGCGTGTCTACACAATAACAAAAGAGCTAAAGCAATTTAAAAAATCTTTTCAACTGGTGGTGAGAAAAAGGCTCTATTTCATTTCATTTTATTTTTCTGAATTGTTTATCTTGGCTCTATGTAGACACTAGAACAACAACAACAACAAAAAAAATGAAACTTTTTCAGGGGAAGAGATACCAAATGAATTCCAAATGGAATCACTGGAATACAGTTTTTAAATTAATCAGATGAGGCCTCTACCTGGGCAGCCTTCTTTGAGCTCAGGTTACTCTTGTCTTTATAGACAACACAAGCAGTAATACATTTTACCATATGTTTAAAGAATCTCCCAGTAAGCATCATTATATTCTGCATATACAAACTATGTTACTAAATAAGGAAACCAAAAGAATAATTTCTGCATTAGAATTTTGACATGCCATTCATATTCTAGGAAACAAAGGAGCAAAGAGGAACAAGCGTGGGTTGAAAAGTCAGACCTGGGTTTTAGTCCAATGTCTGCTGTTAACTACATGTGTGGCTTTGGTAATGTCACTTAATCTTGTGAAGCCTAAGTTTCTTCAGTAAAATGAGAATAACAATTTCTATTCTATAGATGCACTGTGAGGAGTAAGTGAGTTCTTCCACACAAAGCATTCTGCATAATGCCTATTTCAAAGAGTACCTTTGGCTAGCATTTAGCATTTTAACAACTAATGTCATACCCCAAAAAGTATCAACAAGGATTGCACCTCATAATTAAATAGCAACAGTAGTAATGTTTTTTTGAAATTTAATAATTCTGAAATAGCATAATATTGAATTGTCTAAATTCAAAACTTCTAATTTGGTCTTTTTTTTCACCAGTACATATAGGCTTCCAATTATGTTTTCTGCTTACTGACTTTAAACAGTATCTAGTTAAATTTTGTGTGTGCTTGTGTACAAAAATAAAGCTATTATTGGAATATTTGTAAGATAAGGGTTTCATGAAATGCAAATTTGACAAGACAACCTATAATAAAAAGCCACTAATTATAAACATATAGGTATATTTATTAATACAGGTATAGATATAATACATACACAAATGTTCATGTAAATTCTTCTTTTGAGGAATTAGTTTTGTCTATCCCATGTTATTTAATCTATATTTAATTGCACCTTTATATCTACTGTATCTTAATAAATTACACTGAAATTTATTTCTAAGCAAAGCTTTTTGCCTCTTCAGGAATGGAAGGACATTGACATTTAGTTGATATAGTATTTTCTAGAAATAATATTTTATTATACACTTATGACATAATTCTTATCTCTTTATACATAATTACGTTGACTTTTAGAAAATTTCAGTGACTCTTAAAGCCACACAGCTAGTAAATAAAGTGGTTTAGATTTGAACCCAGGTATGTCTCAACCCAAAGCCTCTTCCTGCATCACACTGAATGCCACAGCAATTCACCATCCACTTGCCCTCCTCTCAATGGACCACTTTCTCTGGAGACACAACAGAGCCTATCATTCATTCTTTTCCTCCCTTCTCTTAGTACGTTCCTTTAGCCTTGTCTTAGGATCTCTTCGTTTGAAAGTCAAAGTGGAGCCCACAATGTTGTTAATTAATTTTATTACTTTGTATACATATTTTCAAAGTATTTCACAACATTCACTCAACTACTCATAAATGGAGACGGGCCAAAATCATAGATCTTAGTGTAGTATTTTTCAGGATCAAACCCAGTTGGATTCTTGGTTTTTAAAGATCTCTCTCTTATTTGCACAGCAACAAGGATTTCCTCAAGAGTATTTAAAATTGAGACTTCCTTCTGTTTGGCATTAAGCCTTTGACAACAAGATTAACTTATAACTGAAATATAATATGTAATGAATGACTTAATGAATAACCTGAAATTCCTTCTGCCTTAAAAAACAAGAATTATCACAAATATTTGAATCTGTATCATTCTACATGCAACTAGCCAAAATCTGCCTGGAAAACAAATCTTAGAACTAGTATTTTAAATCAAAAATTTATTCTTATCACCATATTGTTAGTAAAGTTAGCAATTGGGAATCCTAAGCATTTAACCTTTGAGCTTGTCTGGTCTTGTGTTATTTACAAAGTGTTAGCTATGTATTCATTTACCTGGGCACATTTGCAGGCATGACTAAAGGCTGCTAGGGTTTTGCAGATGTGCCATATAATAGCATCTTCAATTCAGTGTTTTTTTTTTTTTCTTAATTTCTTCCCTAAGGTTTGCCTTGCACAGAATAAAATTCTCCTCCAGTGAGGTGGTAGATGTTTCTCCCACAGGATGATGCCATTATCATGGTAGTGTCTGGCCCTGTGTACCTGGATTAAAGTTTGACAACTTTTTCCAGTGTTTTATATGTTTGTTTCTAGGAGACCTACTTCGTAAAAAAAAAAAAAAAAATAGCTTTCTCAACATGCATGGGCTAGGGGAAAAATATGCTTCCAAAATTCTTATTTATTCCAATTTTATTTCTATGGATACAGTTCATTAAGTATGGAAGTTTCCCTAAAGAAAGTTGTTTCCCTAGAGGAAGAGTGCAAGAATGAGCAATTTGATAGGTACATTTATGTCAGTTGGAGGATTCAGTACCAGAGGACAAGCAGTAAGGAAAGGGGGAGGCTTCACACTTCTGAAGCAGAGCCTCCAAAAGCTTCTTTCCAACAAGGAACAAAAAGAAAAGGAATGAGTCAAACTCCAAAGAGCAAAAGTTAGCGTTCACCAAGGCAAACCACTCCATAAGACAAAAATGGTCACAGTATTTCTCCAGAGAGGCAAACACACCCCACATCTTCTAGAGCTTCCTGATGCAGGATGGGAAGATGAAAGAAAGGGGAGTTACTTACTGTTTGGGTCTACGTTTTCACAGAGCTCTGTCTTGGCCTCACCGTTGGGTCTGTCACTGGGTTTATGTGACAGCCTCGATGACATGGTGGCTGCTGTGACTACCGCCTTGAAGCTTCGCTTCCGTTTCTGGACATTGAGTTCAGGGTGAAAAATGATGATGTACACTTTCGGCATGTATAGCATCCCCAGCGCCACTGATGCACTTAGGTTCATGGAGATTGTAAGTGTGGTAGTTTGTATGTAGAGCTAGGAGACACAATACACAAGACACTATTACAAATAAAATGACCGCAGAGGGAGTCTGAACACTTAAAATGATGTCAAGAACGACTATGGCTAGGAGATAAAGCAATCTTCAGGGCATTTTGATAAAGAAAGACACAATGACTCTGCACAGTTATTAAAGCATATATGCATATATTAATTGATTGAATGCCACTAGGTGAATCCATGCACATGCTTGCCCTGGAGAAGTCTTCTATATTAAATTTCAGAGTAGACCTTTAATCATATTTTAAGGACTTTTAATCAGAGTGGCAGCTAAATATGAAGACATGAAGACCATAGAAATCTGTAATCTTGATTAAAGTGTGGTTAGCTTTTATCCTCCACATATATAAAAGAGGGTTCACACTCCATAATTTCTTCCTACACTGAGATTCTGGGGTCTTTTGAGAAGTCTTTATCTTATGTCTTTTTTTGTATTGTTCTTTAGAAAGGTATACCTTTACCATATCTGCTGAGTAGTGAGTTGAGTTTCTCCAAAGGCTCAGATCGTCATACTTAATTCTGTCTTACAAAACACAAATGACAAGTGAACAAAACTAGTAATCTAGTGATGTTGTCTTGTCCACTCTTTATATTGTCAAATTACTAATGGGATGCAAAATTTTATTCTGGATTTGGGTGATTTGTAGTTTGGATGGTGCCCCTATTTCTGTCCTTGTCTCCTTTCATTTCCTCAAGAAATCAGTAGATCAACTAATTGCTTGCTGTCCAATGTGTCAGATCATTGCCTTGGCTGTAAATATGAAAAAGTGATGGTAGAAGGATGTAGGGAGGTGTATGATCCTTAAGAGTAAAGCGACAGACAACTTGCCCTGGTCTAGTTGTCTACAACATGCCCTACCATGATCCAGACCCCCCACCGCCCCCACTCCCAATGTGTTCAGGCACATGTGCATTTTGCGTGACTTTTAAAGGCCATTTAAATGGAACAACCAGCAACCATTGCCTTTCTGTCCATGGAAAGCCTAGTTCCTTGACAACATATTCAACTATGGTATTCTACAGCTATGCCTTCTCATTGATCTGGTGATAAAAGCCCAATTCTTAAGGGAGTTCACAAGGGCTCTCATGGTTTGTGCTTGCCTGCTTTTTTAGACTAATTGTCCACCATTTCCCACCTCCCTGACTCCCAGTCCCCTGCTTTGCCTTCCCAGGGCACCATCCATTTGGGCTGTCCTTTAGCTTGCAAATAAACTGTACGCATTCAATCACAGAACTTTGCTGCATGCCCCTTTGCTTTACTTTTGTTTCCCTACATATGGAATGCTCCTCCTTTTCTTCTTAGCACCCATCCCAGGCTGCCCTCACTCACAGCCTCCAGTCTAGGCCAGCTTCTTTAATGACATACTCTCAAAGGACTTCTTTAGATCATTTGTCTCATTTGTAATTATGAACTCAGAACCTTGATCTTTTTTTTGTCCCTTGTTTCTGCTAGGCCTTAAGTTCCATGAAGGCAAGATCTGTCTCTCTAGGACACTATTATGTCTGTGAAGAAGGCCCTCAATAAACATACAATGGATAGGTTCGTGTGTTTGTCTGACACCTTTTTCCTAGCCATACTTCAGTGGTTAAACAGCCTATCTCTGTATATGCAAAAACTTCCATCAGACCTATTGGCTGCCTGGATATTTCTGATCTTAATTGTTCAAACTGAGGCTCCAGTGAAATCAAAGATAACTTTGCCACCTTATCTAGAAGGAATACAGTTTTCCAGCTAACATTAATTTGAATATGTATGTCTCCAAATAGTTAAAAGGAGCTGCCAGCTGCTGAGTATAATACATAATGAATGTGAAGTAGAAAGAAAAAATATTGAATAAATGATTCTTCAAATTGTGAATTAGTTCATATTTTAAATTTCGTATTTCCCTACTAGCATACCTTTAGACTTTTAATGTCATTCCACCCTGCCAGCCTACGCTGTTCAAGAAAGGCTTAACGTGGTCACAGGGCTTTATAGACGTAGAAAATTTTTTCACCACTATCAGTATACTTATGGGAGCTTTGCAAACTATGGCTTAGTTCAAAAAGGAAAGAGATGTCAGCAAAATTATGGGATCTTAGGTTTTGTTTGTGTTTCTCTGCTCGCGAGTGAATTTTGCAGTTGATGAAATTATTCGGAGTTCTTATTTCATTATTTATATATAATTATAAATTATGCAGGCATATATGCTTATGTATGTTTGTATGTTTGTATACATATGTTTTCTTTTTCCAACTTGTAGATCTGAGGGAACGTGCAGGTTTGTTACATGCGTATATTGTGTGATGCTGAGGTTTGGCCCAATATTTGCTTTTCAACCGTTACCTCCTCTTCCATTAGCCCCCACTGTCCATTGTCATCTTTATGTCCATGAGTACCCAATGTTTAACTCATCCTTATACGTAAGAACATGAGGATTTTGATTTTCCGTTTGTGTTAACTGGCCTAGGAAAATGACCTACTACAGTTCCACATGGTTTTGTTCTTTTTTATGGATGCATAGTATTTTGTGGTATATATGTGCCACATTTTCTTTATCCAGTCTACTGCTGATTCCATGTTGTTGCTGTTGGAATAGTGCTGTGAGTGCATGCATCTTTTGGTAGAATGATTTGTTTTATTTTGAATATATACCCAGTAACATATACACTTTTTCTTTAACAAAGACTACTAAGTAATTTAGAACTCTACAACTATGATGTTTATTTTATGAAGTGTTTAGTTTCATCATTTTTAAGCTAGAGACCATCAAGATTTTGTTTTTTGTTTGGAAAATTTTGCAGTCTCTGGTGACACTTCAGAAGTATGTTGAAAACCAAAATAAACTTCACTGATCACAGTATTTCTACAGCCCCTCCACCCCTGAATCCTCTTTACACAGCTTACTGGATAGGAATATAGATTCTAGAGCTGGTCTACTTGAGTTCAATTCTCATTTACTAGTTTTGTGACCTTGGACAGATTACTTCTCCTCAGCTTCTACATCTGCAAAATGGACATAATAATAGTACCTACCTCAGAATGTTGTCTTGCTTGATGATTAAATATGTATTTGTAAAGTGTTTAGTATAGGATCTAGCACATAGTATTATTAGTAAGTACTATGAAAGTATTTTTTAAAAAGTACAGTCACGCATCACTTAATGACAGAAATGTGTTCTGAGAAATGCATTATTAGGTAATTTGTTATTGTGCAACCATCATAGTATACTGACACAAATCTTGGTGGCATAGCCTACTAAAGTCAGGCAACAAACTTTCACAGCAGATCACAATACTGAATCCTGTAGGCAGTTGTAACAATGGTATTTATGTATCTAAATATAGTTAAACATAGACCAGGTGCAGAGGCTCACTCCTGTAATCTCAGCACTTTGGGAGCCTGAGGTGGGCAGATCACCTGAGGTCAGGAGTTCAAGACCAGCCTGGCCAACATGGTGAACCGCACCCCCCCCCCCGCCCCACCCTGGGTTTTGGGGTGGGTGCCTGTAATCTCAGCTACTCAGGAGGCTGAGGCAGGAGAATCGCTTGAATCTGGGAGGCAGAGTTTGGAGTGAGCTGAGATCACCCCACCGCACTCCAGCCAGGGGAAGAGAGTGAGACTCTGTCTAGAAACAAATAAAACTATATATATATATATATATATATATATATATATATATATATATATATAATACACACACACACACACACACACACACACACACACACACACACATAGAATAAGTACTGTACAACTATATTATAATCTAAGGGACCACCATTGTACATGCAGTCCTTTGTTTATAAAAATGTCATTATGTGGCACATGACTATATGTAGGTATGAAGGCTGAGAAGGCTTCAGTCTACAGAGATCTTGGAGGTATTGGTCCACAGGGAGCTGCTCCCACTAAGCCTAGAAGAGAAGATAGGCCATTGACTTTGGCTTTTGGTGAGGTGGGAGGCTCACATTGAAGTTAGGAGTTTTCATCCCAGCATCTTTTTAGTACATTCTTTCAGTAAATTATAGCATACCTATATTTATTCTTATGGTTGTTCTTATTTTACCTGATGCTTATTGTATAATGCACTACCCTGTTTAAGCTTAGGTGTTTCACATCACTTTCTTTTATTTGTAATTTATTTAGAAATGTAAAGGAGTTGGTGATATTATCAGTTCCTTTTGTCAAAGTATAGCTAAAGAGGTTCTTATGTATATTGTTTTGCTGAGACCAGCCTCTCCCCCAGAGCTGTCCTCCAACTGAGCCTAATCCAGTTTTGGATGTCCAAGGATCATTCCCAAAAGAAAAAAGAGCTTCCCCACCCTGACCAACTATGGAAGGCCCAGGCCTGTGGGAAGGACATAGACTGCCTTGGAATTTCCACATCTTGATAATTAAGCCCTAATTTTATCATCAACCTAAATGAATTTTCAGAATCTAGTTTCCACTCCTGGGTCACATATGGCTTGTCTAACTTAACCCACTATGAATAATTTAGGTCAAATAACTAAAGAACATTTAGGTAAGGAATTAAGAGCCAAGCCAGCAGTGAGTTATGTACAATGTTCTAGAATAGTTTTCTTAAAATTCTGATGTGCAGAACCCATAGCTGTAACTATTCTCTCTGTTTTTCAGTTTTCTGAAGTGTAAAATGAAAGCCATAATAGTTTGTTTCCCATATGGTCATTGTGAAAAAGTAACTGATTAATATATGAAAATTTTTTAGCAGAGTGCCTGGAAAATAAGTATTCATGAAATGTTATCTGCTAATATTTATGTTCTGCCAGGCTAAGTTTCTGGGGTTTAGATCTAAGGATAAGGTTTCCACTGTAACCACTTTTAAATATTTCAAATTTTTATGTATAGATTGTTGATTAAGTTATAGTGTTTATAAAATCTACTCCTATTCATGTCTATCCAGATAGAAATGTACCAGCAAATATAGTGTCAGAGTACACAGGGATGTGGTGAATTCAATGCCAGGCAAAGCTC